GTAGTTTCTCCTTTATATTATATATTAAATCAGTCCATCCATCCATCTTTTTTAAATCACTGTGTTGTAATAAGCCTTCCCTGTGTCGCCTATTCTATAATAACCTGAGATATCTGGGCCTCTAGTCTCCTCTGGGTCAACCCTGGGCCCTTTGGGGCGGGTCTGGGGCCCCTCACACCTCCGACTGAGCATATCTTTCAGCTGAAGGAGAATTAAAGAATTATTTATATACATGTATTTACTCTCTATGGGATACTCCCTGTTTTGCTGTGGTTGGTGTGTTGTATATATGTGTGTTTTTATTCCCTCTCATTTCCTCTATGGTGTGGAAACAGACTTCTAGGAGTTTATATGTATTTTCTGTGTTTTATTCTCCTTTATTCTCTCTTTCTCTCTCTCCTCTTTTTCTCTTCACTTAGTTTGTTTCCCCTTCTTTTCCATCTCCATTGTATAGGATTATGTTTCCCAAAGCCAAGTGTAATGTATAATGATGTTTCATACATAAGGGGAACCTTATGGTAGCCATGGTGATCTATTTGTGAAAGAAAAATCTGTTGGGCTACTATCAAGCACCTGAAAATTCTCACTACTCTATTGGCAAACAGGATATGTAAAAAAAAGAATAAAATTAAAAAAAGCAGATGAAGCCATATATGGAAAAACTAAGTACACTTGATTCCAGCACCTTTAGCAGTAATAAATGCTAAAGTAGTGTTTTCCTATTTAACCGTATCAGCTTCTGCTTCATTTCCTTGATGTGTAGAAATAAGCTTCCCCACAGCCTTGTTGAGATCCCACTAAAAAGTCGTAGGCTTAAATATGACCACTGCAACACACCAGGCCCTGTGCGCATGACCAACAATCCATTAAAAGCATCCTCTGTGGTTTTCTTATCTGCTCGGCATCCGTTATGCTGCGGCATGCTCATTAAATTCAGCTGATTGCACCCATGCTGGACATGTGCCATCGCTTCCCCATACAGACAGATTTGGTGTTTCCTGTCGCCATGACCAGCCTGTTTTCTTCTTAATCCTTCCACTCTGGAAACCATTTTCTAGCGGCGTTCTTGTTCAAACAGACACATTAAAACTCTTTTACTCTGAAAAAGGAACATTGATGTGTGAGCAGAGCCTGAGTCTTGTCTTTTTTTATGCATTAACGATAACATCCGATTCACTTGACGAATGTGGTGCCTCTAAATTTAGACCCTCATCCTGCCACTATAAGGCTGCTGTCCACCATTACAGCGGTTTCATAGGGCAGGTTAGACCCTTCTAATGGTAAAGAACAGCAGCTCTTTTAATTTATGGCTTTTCCAGTATTTCTAAATCATTTTTAGAGATTTTTGAGTAGCCATCTAAAAGATGAAGCATTCTGAAGGAGATTTGGTGCTATTTAACCACCAGATGGAGCCAAACTTCAGCTATTTTTGTTTTTGTGTTTTGCGGTTATATGTAGATGTAGTTTTAAGAAAAAAATATGTTTCCGGTGAGGAAATATGGTAGCCTCATGACACCATCCTGATCTCGCGAGCTTTCAAGGTTTCACTCGCAGATCAGTCTGGAGACTCTCCATTGAAGAAAA